AATTATTCCATTATTTCTTCAATTATTATTTTTATTTCTCAAAGAGAAAATTTTATCAGATGTCAGTACCTCTATACCTACTCTTATCTTAGTTTTTCATTTATATTTTCTTTGTTCTAGATTTTCTCCTTCTAAAATTCTAATTCATTCCTCAGTTGTATCCATTCCGTTATTTATTCCATCTGTGATTCCGTAACATTACACATGGAATAAAAAACAGAATGGATACAGATGTTTTGAGACATGGTCTCACTCTGTCACCCAGGCTGGACTGCTCAATGCTCACTGCAACCTCGACCTCCCCAATTCAAGCAAGCCTCCCACCTTGGCCTCTAGAGTAGCTGGGACTACAGGCATTTACCACCAAACCCAGCTAGTTTTTTTTATGTTGCCCAAGCTGGTCTCAAACTCTGAGCAAAAGCAATCCTTCTCAGCCTCCCAAAGTGCTGGGATTACAGGCATGAGCCACCATGCCCGGCCAGTGTTCTTTATTTCAACCACTGTATTTTTCATGTCCAGTATTTCTGTTTGGTTCTCCCAGTCTCCACTTATACTTTTATTTCAAATTGCCAACATCTTCCCTTATTTCTTTTAGGATGATTATCAGTCTACGTTTAAACTCTTAGTCCATTTGTTCTAATACTTCTGTTCCAATGAAGATGTATGTTTTCTCTTAAAATATCTTTGCTCGTCTGTTATTTTTATCCAGAAGACGGATATCAGTTACTGAGACAAGCAAATATAGGTGAAATCCAGACTCTAGTCCATATCAGCCCCAGTAAAGTAGAAAGCCACAATCACTCTCCATCCCACATAACCACTACTCAGATCAGGGCTTCAGCTTTCATTTCCCAGGCAGAAGCAGCATTATGATAGGAATCTGGTAAGACCTAAGGATTAAGAGGGTAACCCACAGAGAAATGACTGCCTGAAGTCAGTCACCACCTGTTTTCCCCCTACGCTTCACAAGTATGGGCTTCTCTAATACCCTGATTCACTCTTGAGAGAAGTGGACTAGGGCTTTGAGTTATAGCAGGTGTGGAGAAGGGTAATTCCAAGATAATGAAGCAGGGGAGAAACTAGAGCAATATTCCAATAGTTGCCTTGCCCAATGATTTTATTCTCCCACAGCCATGCCTGGCTAACTGCTGTTTCAGGTCAGCTGCTGCCTCCCACCTTCCATCCCCAACCTCCATCCAGTTTGAAACTGACCATGTGTGTTTCTCCAGTATTTTCCCTTTATAGTTCCTTCAGGAATGATTTTCAGGAAGAGAGCCCCAGCCATGTTGGTTAAGTACCTTCGTCAGCATAGGAATTGACCACTTGGCAACTTTGAAGAATTTAAACAAAAATAAAGGTTTCTTACATAACTTTAACACCCAACACAAAGTTCTGTACCACTAAAAAGATACTAATTTAAGGGCCATGGAAATTCAGAGCAGAAAAAACTACTTTTGACTGCCAGGCAGAGGAGGAATCACAGAGAGGGAAAATAGGAGTGGAAGGACTTTAAAATGGGAGCATACTGTACAGGTTGGTGAAGATCTACATTTAATAGCTTAAAAAAAAAAATTCCCCCGGCCAGGCGCGGTGGCTCACGCCAGTAATCCCAGCACCTAGGGAGGCCGAGGCAGGTGGATCACGAGGTCAAGAGATCGAGACCATCCTGGTCAACATGGTGAAACCCCATCTCCACTAAAAATACAAAAAATTAGCTGGGCATGGTGGCGCGTGCCTGTAATCCCAGCTACTCAGGAGGCTGAGGCAGGAGAATTGCCTGAACCCAGGAGGCAGAGGTTGCGGTGAGCCGAGATCATCCCATTGCACTCCAGCCTGGGTAACTAAAGCGACTCTGTCTCAAAAAAAAAAAAAAAAAAAAAAAGGCCAAAAAGAAAACATTATAAGCAATGGCACTGTCAAGATTTTATACAAAAAATGAAGTCAGTTGAAATCCCTTTTGAATACACCAGTTAGATATTTTCCCTGCCCTCCACCCCCGCTTTTTTTTTTTTTTTTTGAAAGAGATGGGGCTTTTCCCTGTTGGTCAGGCTGGTCTTGAACTCCCAACCTCAGGTGATCCACACACCTCGGCCTCCCAAAGTGCTGGGATTACAGGCATGAGCCACCGCACCCAGCCTTTTTTATTTTTTGGAGACAGAGTCTCTCTGTCACCCAGGCTGGAATACAGTGGCAGGATCTCCACTCACCGCAGCTTCTACCTCCTGGGTTCAAGCAATTCTTCTGCCTCAGCCTCCCACATAGCTGGGAATATAGTCTCATGTCACCATGCCCAGCTAATTTTTTTTTTTCATTTTTAGTATAGATGGGGTTTCACCATTTTGCCCAGGCTGGGCTCGAACTCCTGACTTCATGATCCGCCTCCCATGGCCTCCCAAGTTACCCGCTTTTAAAAGAGGAAACTATTTGGCTTAAAGAAGTCAAATAACTGCCCAAGTCTAAAACTTATCCTTTTCCACTATAATATGCTGCCGATTAGTAGTAACATTCAGTTGCTCACACCATAAAGTTAGAAGTGATCCTCAATCTCTCCCTCTTCCTCTATTATCACATCCATAACCCAACCTTGTAGATTTATAGCTCCCAAATAACTCAGACCTTCCATTCTCTCTATCTGCATGACCACTTCCCCAAACCAAAAAGTGTTATTTCTTGCTTGGGTCACTGCAATAAATTCTATCCTAGTCTTTCTAAACCCCACTCCAATACAAACTGTACACTACCAAAAAATAAATTTTTTTTTTGAGACGAAGTTTTGCTCTTCTTGCCGAGGTTGGAGTGCAATGGCATGATCTTGGCTCACCACAACCTCCACCTACCAGGTTCAAGCGATTCTCCTGCCTCGGCCTCCCTCCCAAGTAGCTGGGATTATAGAAATGCACCACCAAAGGCTGGCTAATTTTGTATTTTTAACAGAGACCGGGATTTCCATATTGGTCAAGCTGGTCTCGAACTCTCGACCTCAGTTGATCTACCCGCCTCAACCTCCCAAAGTGCTGGGATTACAGGCATGCGTCACCTCATCCAGCCTGCCAAAATCATTTTTAAAAGAAAAAAAATTCTGACCAAGCATAGTGGCTCACGCCTGTAATCCCAGCACTTTGGGAGGCCGAGGCAGGTGGATCATGAGGTCAAGAGATCGAGACCATCCTGGTCAACATGGTGAAACCCCGCCTCTACTAAAAATACAAAAAATTAGCTGGGCATGGTGGCGCACGCCTGTGATCCCAGCTACTCAGGAGGCTGAGGCAGGAGAATTGCCTGAACCCAGGAGGCGGAGGTTGCGGTGAGCCAAGATCACGCCACTGCACTCCAGCCTGGGTAACAAGAGCGAAATTCCGTCTCAAAAAAAAAAAAAAAAAAAAACTTATCTGTACTAAAAATACAAAAATTATCCGGGCATGGCGGCACATGCCCACTTTTTTTGAGACTCTGTCTCAATAAAAAGGGAAAAAAAAATCCTATAGTGTCAGGGCCTGGTCAAGAGCTTGCTACTGCTGTAAGACAAAACACATGGTCTAGCGCCTCAGCACCTTTTCAGTCTCACCTTGCACTATTCAGTCTTAACCCTCAGCCACACTGATCTTTCAGTTTCTCAAACAGGGCCTTTACACACATTGTTCCTTCATTTGGAGCACAATGAGTTTTGCAGAAAACTGATTCATCCTAAACCTTAAAGTCTCAGGTTAAATGTCGTCTACTCAACAGTCAGCAAGAGATGCCAGGCCGGGAGCAGAGGCTCACGCCTGTAAACCTAGCACTTTGGGAGGCTGAAGCGGGCAGATCACTTGAGGCCATGAGTTCCAGAGCAGCCTGGCCAACATACTGAACCCCCTCACTACTGAAAATACAAAAATTAGGGCTGGCTTCGGTCGCTCACGCCTGTAATCCCAGCACTTTGGGAGGCCGAGGCGGGCAGATCACGATGTCAGGAGTTCGAGACCAGCCTGATCAACAAGGTGAAACCCCATCTCTACTAAAAATACAAAAAAAAAAAATTACCTGGGTGTGGTGGCATGCGCCTGTATTCCCAGCTACTCCCGAGGCTGAGGCAGGAGAATCGCTTGAGCCAGGGAGGTGGAGGTTGCAGTGAGCGGATACCGCGCCACTGCACTCCAGCCAGGGTGACAGAGTGAGACTCCGTCTCAAAACACACACACACGTTTCTCTGAGCCCCATGTCGATACTATCTGGAAGTTTCGGTGTGGCTCCAACACGAGCATTTTCAAACAAGCACTCAAGCGCCTCTAAGGCAGAACTTCCGCAACCCTTAACTTAAAAACTTTTAAGACACGTCAATGCCATGCTCCCCACCTCCCTCTCTCCCACTTCTATTCTCTGAATTGCCTCAATGGCCCTCAAATGTTGTGTCCACTTAAACTCAATCCAACTACGTTGACTTTCGGTGTGTCACCAGATGGCCAGTTACATCACGTCACCCACTCCCACTTTTATCTTCCTCGAGCCCTTATCCCACAACCCTTCCCCTCCCCCCAAGTCCTCCTTCCGCCGGGTGCTGCCTTCCCCAAGCCGCCCGACCCACGCCTCAAGCTCCTCCCACCCGCTACCCCCACACAATTGGCGGTACAGCCGCCCAATCCTCACTCTCCAGCTACCGCTCCCGGCACCCCGCCGACGAAGGCCAAGAGCCACACCTTACAGCAGCTCCATGAATCTCTCCCCGGTCGAGCCCGGGAAGGGGAAGGAGTGGCAGCCACAGGTCCTACTTCGGCAGCATTTTGAAATGGCGAGTAATGAGACCGCAACTTCCGGCCTCCCACAAGGCTCTACATGAGGGCTTCCGGTAAGGCCTCCGAAACCATAGATGGGACAGTCGGAGGACTAGAGAGCTAGAAAGGCTGAGCTCTCTACCATAGAGTAGATCCGAGTCCCGTTAGAGTCGTGGGGCACGGAAGTTTGAAATAGTCTTCAGATTTCAAGAAGTAATATTTGAGGGACTTGCACGGTCTTGTGATACTTACGGACGTGTATTAGGAGATCAGAAAACAGAGAAGGTCGTAATCACAGGCTGCCTTCAGCTCTTCGGAAAAACTACGCTTCCTCTGGCATTCGCCAGTATTCATCCTTACTCCCCAAGGGTGGCAGGGGCGGGAAACGGAGCGAAGGCGTCACTAGGGCGGTAAGGAAGCTTGAAGGCATGTCAAATAAGAAATTTTTGAAGGCGCTGGGTGCGGTGACTCACGCTTGTAATCCCAGCACTTTGGGACGCCGAGACAGGCGGATCACCTGAGGTCAGGAGTTCGAGACCAGCCTGACCAACATAGTGAAACCCCATCTCTACTAAAAACACAAAAGCTAGCCGGGCGTCGTGGTACGGGCTCCTGTAATAGCTACTCAGGAGGCTGAGGCAGGAGAATCGCTTGAACCTGCGAGGTAGAGGTTGCATTGAGCCGAGATCGCACCACTGCACTCCACCCTGAGTGACAGAGTAAGACTCCATCTTCAAAAAAAAAAAAAAAAAAGTGCTTAGGAAAAAAAAAAAAAACTTGACATTACCCATGATTTAAAAAAAAAAAAAAGAAAAGAAAATACAAAAATTAGCTGGGCATGGTGGCAAACGCCTGTAATCAGCTACTTGGGTCGCTGAGGCAGGAGAATCGCTTGAACCCGGGAGGCAGAGGTTGCAGTGAGGCGAGATCACACCACTTCACGCCAGTGGCGGGGCAGAGGATGCTAAAACCATTTGAATGAAAGGTTGGCATGGAAAGAAAACACAGAGTAGGCTTACCATTCCACCCTCCCCAACCGTATCACTAAAAAAGGGTCTTTCACACACCATATAATACTTGATTATGAAGGAATAAGAAACCGGAACACCACCTATGAAGTATTCCTGACCAAAAGATAAATAATCCAAATCTAAATCTACCTACTAACTGTGAGTTAGTAGGGAAAATGGAGAGCAAGGAGTTAATTAGCCAAATCCAGAATGCAGGAGTTCTACAGGACCTGGGGCAACAGGGAAGATTAAAGTGGGGGGACTTTAGAGAACCTTAAAAAAACCAACTGCAGGTGATGGCCTGTGCCTGTATTCCCAGTTATTCCGGAGGCTGAGGCAGGAGCATCCCCAGAGTCAAGGAGTTTCAGGCTGTAGTGTGCAATGATCATTTCTGTGAATAGCCACTGCACTCCAGCCTGAGCACACAGTGAGAACTCTTTGTTTTTGTTTTTGAGACAGGCTCTCCCGCTGTTGCCTAGACTACAGTGCAGTGGCTCCAACCCGGCTCGCTGCAGCCTCGACCTCCTGGGCTCAAGTGATCCCCGCACTTCAGTCTCGGGTAGCTGGGACTAGAAGCTCCAGACATGACTCCTCTCTGATTTTTGGCAGAGGTGGGGTGTCAGTTTGTTGCCTAGGCTTGTCTCGAGCTCCTGGACTCAAGCAATCCTGCCCCCCTCCACCTCCCAAAATTCTCGGATTAAAAGCGTGAGCCACTAGGCCTGGCCAAAATCCCATCTATTTTAAAAAAAAAAAAGTACGTATGAGGAAAGAGAGGACTAAATCTAAACTGAGATATAGTCATAGTTAATACCAAGAGGTTGCAAGATACTAGTTCCACGTGCCAACAACCCCGGGGCTTGGAGGCACTCCCTAACAATGATCTTCCCTGATGAAGGAACAGAGCTGCAGCATTTTCTCCAGGTGTCGTTTTAAAACTGTGGTTTTCGGGGCAGACGCAGTGACTCACACCTGTAATTCCAGCACTTTGGGAGGCCGAGGTGGGCGGATCACCTGAGGTCAGAAGTTCGAGACCAGCCTGGCCAACACGGTGAAACCCTGTCTCTACTAAAAATACAAAAATTAGCCGGGCGTGGCGGCGGGTGCCTATAATCCCAACTACTCCCGAGGCTAGGGCAGGAGAACAACTTGAACCCGGGAGGTGGAGGCTGCAGTGAGCCTAGATCGCGCCACTGCACTCCAGCCTGGGCAAAAAGAGCGAAACTCCACTCAAAAAAAAAAAAAAAAAAAAAAAAAATTGTGGTTTTCAAGCTTTAAGGTATACAAAATTCACTGGGAGATGTGCTTATTAAAATATATTTCTCTGAGCCCTATATCGATACTATCTGGAAGTTTCGGTGTGGCTCCAACACGAGCATTTTCAAACAAGCACTCAAGTGCCTCTAAGGCAGAACTTCCGCAACCCTTAACTTAAAAACTTAAGACACGTCAATGTCATGCTCCCCACCTCCCTCTCTCCCACTTCTATTCTCTGAATTGCCTCAATGGCCCTCAAATGTTGTGTCCACTTAAACTCAATCCAACTACGTCGACTTTCGGTGTGTCACCAGATGGCCAGTTACATCACGTCACAAACCCCCACTTTTATCTTCCTCGAGTCCTTATCCCACAACCCTTCCCCTCCCCCCGAGTCCTCCTTCCGCCCAGTGCTGCCTTCCCCAAGCCGCCCGACCCACGCCTCAGGCTCCTCCCACCAGCTACCCCAGCTTCCAGGCCCACACAATTGGCGGTACAGCTGCCCACTCCTCACTCTCCAGCTACGGCTCACCCCGCCGACGAAGGCCAAGAGCCACACCTTACGGCAGCTCCATGAATCTCTCCCCGGTCGAGCCCGGGAGGGGGAGGGGTGGCAGTCACAGGTCCCAGGGCCTAGGCAGCATTTTGAAATAGCGAGTAATGAGACCGCAACTTCCGGCCTCCCACAAGGCCCTACACGAGGGCTTCCGGTGAGGCCTCCGAAACCATAGATGGGGCAATCGGAGGACTAGAGAGCTAGAAAGGCTGCGCTCTCTACCATAGAGTAGATCCTAGTGCCGGGAGAGAGTCGTAGGGCCCCGGAAGATTGAAAGTCTTCAGATTTCAAGAATATTTGAGGGACTTGCAGGGTCTTGTGATACTTACGGACGTGTATTAGGAGATCAGAAAATAGAGAAGGGGAAGAGCTAAGGTGGTAATCACAGGCTGCCTTCAGCTCTTCGGAAAAACTACCCTTCCTCTGGCAGTCGCCAATATTCATTCTTACTCCCCAAGGGTGGCAAGGAGGAGAAACGGGGCGAAGGCGTCACTAGGGTGGTAAGGAAGCTTGAAGCCATGTCAAATAAGAAATATTTGAAGACGCCAGGGACGGTGGCTCACCCCTGTAATCCCATTTGGGAGGCCGAAGCAGGCGAATCACCTCAGGTCAGGAGTTCAAGACCAGCCTGACCAACATAACATGGTGAACCCTTGTTTCTTTCTTTATTTTTTGAACCCTTGTTTGTATTGAAAATACAAAAATTAGCCGGGCGTGGTGGTGCGCGCCTGTAATGCCAGCTACTCAGGAGGCTGAGACAGGACAATCGCTTGAACCTGGGAGGCGGAGGTTGCAGTGAGCCAAGATTGCGCCATTGCCCTCCAACCTTGACAACCAGAGTGAAACTCCTTAAAAAAAAAAGAAAAAGAAAGAAAAGAAAAATAGTTGAAGGTTCAAAGGAATTTTTAACCTGCTTATAAACGAGGGAGGCCAGGTGCAGAGGCTCGCAGCGGTAATCCCAGACTGGGAGGCCGAGGTGGGCGGATCACCTGAGGTCAGGCATTCCAGACCACCCTGTCCAAAATAGTGAAACCCCGTCTCTACTAAAAATTCAAAAAATTAGCTGGGCATGGTGGCGGGCACCTATAATCCCAGCTACTTGGGAGGCTGAAGCAGGAGAATCGCTTGAACCCGGGAGGCAGAGGTTGCAATGAGCCGAGATCAAGCCATTACACTCCAGCCTGGGCGTTAAGAGCGAAAGTCTGTCTCAAAAAAAAAAAAAAAAAAACCGAGGGAAAGGGTTGGGCATGGAAATTGGAAGCTGTCTTTAATTAACTGAATAGTATAATATTGGAAATAACGGAGCCTTATTCTCTACTCCAAAGTGCAGAACTAAAACCAATAGAAATTACAAGGCAGTATATTTTAGCTCAAAAAATCCTATAACATTTAGAGTCGTCCTGAAATAAATGCAATTAGGTATTTAGGGGAAGTAATGTCATTTGAAGGGAACCTACCTGAGAGGTTTGTTGAAAGCTCTTCTATATTAGGAAACATTAGGCCTGGTTGTATAACCCAAGAAAGCTCCATCTCAGTGTTCTTTGCACCTCTCTTTTAGCATTTACCACGTATTGTTTTAGTTATTCATGTATATACCATTTTTATCTCTCCCAATAAGCAATACAAAACGTGGCTCCCAGTGCTGGATACAGACCCATGCAAAAGAACATAGGGCAATAACCTTCCTTAAATTTGTACATTCCACCTTGCCGTGCTTCTAGCATAACCTGCTGCATAGCTTGAAGATCCAGAGTTCCATAAAGGAGCTAAAGAATTAATTTTTTCATAGAAATCTGCAGCCACCTCACTTGAAAAAGGAAAAGGCTGGAGAGGGGGGGCTTTTTTAGGTGAACCACTGTCAACTATTTCCTCTGCCCTTTTGTGCAATTAGTATTTTCTTAAAACTTCCAACGGGAAGTTTTTTTTTTTTTTTTTGTAACTTTTAAATAGCATCTGGTTAGTTTGGATCCTTTCCTAATGTCTCCTGGAGTCTTGGAATATGATCTGTTCATGCAGTTCCATTTGTGTAATATCAATAAGTATTTGTTGAGGCCAGGTGCAGTGGCTCACCCCTGTAATCCCAACGCTTTGGGAGACCAAGGTGGGAGGATTGTTTAAGCCCAGGAGTTTAAGAACACCCTGGGCAACAAAGCAAGATCCCCATCTCTACAAAAAAAAAAATGTTTTTTAATTAGCTGAGCATCCTACTGTGTGCCAAGCACCAACCTAGAGGATTCCAAAACAAGATCTGGAATCTGTCTAGTGGAGGAGTCAGACTGTCCAGGTAAAAAGAATGTGCTAAGTGCAATGACTGATGAGCTGCAGTTACACTTTCCTAGTTTAAGAGAGATGAGCCCTTTCAATTTGGGCAAAATATTCACCAACATCTCTAATTTGTCTTCATTTATAACTTTGAGGGCTGTAGCTGGGTGTGGTGGCAGATGTCCTATAATCCCAGCTACCCGGGAGGCTAAGGTGGGAGAATCGCTTGAACCCAGGCAGAGGTTGCAGTGAGCAGAGATTGTGCCACTGCGCTCCAGCTTGGGTGACAGAGTGAGACTACATCTTAAAAACAAAACAAAACAAAAAAAACAAAACTTGGCTAGGCAGTGGTTTATGCCTGTAATCCCAGCACTTTGGGAGGCCAAGGCGGGGGGATCACTTGAGGTAAGGAGTTTGAGACCAGCCTGGCCAACATGGTGAAACACTGTCTCTACTAAAAATACAAACAAAATTAGCCAACCGGGGTGTTGGGCGCCTGTAATCCCAGCTACTTGGGAGGCTGAGGGAGAATTGCTTGAACTGGGAAGAGGAGGTTGCAGCGAGCCCAGATCAAGCCACTTCACTCTAGCCTGGGTGACAGAGCGAGAATCCGTCTTGATCGATCAATCAATCGATCGATAGATAGATGGAACCTCAATAAATATGTTGAGTAAGCCGTGGTTAAGAATGGAGTTTTTCCCATCATGGTTGACACTGATTTGTGAGTAATTGCTCATCTTCTAATTTTTTAAAGAAATAGACACAGGATCTTACTATGTTGCCCAGTCTGGTCTGGAACTCCTGGCCTCAACTGATCCTCCCTCCTTGGCCTTCCAAAGTGTTAGTATTACAGGTATAATCCTTTAATCCTACAGGTGGCATCCACTACCACGCCCAGCTAATTTTGTGGGTTCTTTGGTTTTTGTTTTGTTTTTTGTTTTTTTGAGACGGAGTTTCACTCTTATTACCCAGGCTGGAGTGAAATGGCACAATCTCGGCTCACCGCAACCTCCGCCTCCTGGGTTCAGGCAATTCTCCTGCCTCAGCCTCCTGAGTAGCTGGGATTACAGGTGCACACCACCATGCCCAGCTAATTTTTGTATTTTTAGTAGAGACAGGGTTTTACCATGTTGACCAGGATGGTCTCGATCTGCTGACCTCGTGATCCGCCTGCCTCGGCCTCCCAAAGTGCTGGGATTACAGGCATGAGCCACCTCACCTGGCCTCCAATGTTGTTGTTAAGCCATCAATGATCTCCCCTAATATGGTTAACATCTGGCAACATTTCTCCGTCTGTTCCCAAGGATTTCATAAAATGACTTGCCATAATAGTAATAATTTTTTAAAAAAAACACTACTGTAAGATTTCCCTTTTCTATCAGTCAGGTAACCTTACCAAAAAAAAAAAAAAATTCTGGGTGTGGTGGCTCACGCCTGTAATCCCAGCTCTTTGGGAGGAGAAGGCAGGCAGATCACTTGAGGTCAGGAGTTTGAGAACAGCCTGGATAACATGGCAAAACCCCATCTGTATTTAAAATACAAAAATTAGCTTGTTGTGATGGTAGATGCCTATAACCCCAGCTATTCGGGAGGCTGAGACAGGAGAATCTCTTGAACACAGGAGGTGGAGGTCAAAATGAACCAAGATGGGGCAACTACACTCCATCGTGAGTGATAGAGTGAGACTCCATCTCAAAAAAAAAAAAAAAAGAAATTGGCTTAAAACATCAACTGACTTAGTAATCACCACTTCCTTCTTTAAGAACTATGCTTATGTTCTCACTCATAGGTGGGTGTTGAACAATGAGAACACATGGACACAGGGAGGGGAGCATCACACACTGGGGTCTGTTGGGGGGAATAGCGGAGGGACAGCGGGGGGTGGGGAGTTGGGGAGAGATAGCATGGGGAGAAATGCCAGATATAGGTGATGGGGAGGAAGGCAGCAAATCACACTGCCATGTGTGTACCTGTGCAACAGTCTTGCGTGTTCTTCACATGTACCCCAAAACCTAAAATACAATTTTAAAAAATGCTTAAAGAAGGCCGGTCATGGTGGCTTATGCCTGTAATCCCAGCACTTTGGAAGGCTGAGGCGGGCAGATCACAAGGTCAGGAATTCAAGACCAGCCTGACCAACATGGTGAAACCCTATCTCTACTAAAAATACAAAAAAAAAAAAAAAAAGAAAAGAAAAATTAGCCTGGCATGGCAGTGAGTGCCTGAAATCCCAGCTACCCAGGAGGCTGAGGCAGAAGAATCGCTTGAATCCGGAGGCAGAGGTTTCAGTGAGCCGAGATCACATCACTGCACACCAGCCTGGGCAGCAGAGCGAACTCTGTCTCAAAAAAAAAAAAAGCTGTGCTCACAAATTGTTGATTTGATTAAAAAGACAGGAAACCTGGGTTCTGGTCTAGCTATTTCTGGAAACCAGAAAAAGTTACACACTGTTTCAGATCTTCAGTTCCCTAATCTGTAAAATAAAATGGCTGAATTCAACCATTTCTTATGGCCCCTTCTAGTTATAAAAAAATTAAAAGTCAGTATTATTGGCCTATAGCTTTTCTGGAAAAAAATGACTGTATACATATCAAAAGGTATAAAGAATATGATCTCCCTTTTCCCATTCCTCTTCCTAAAGAACAGTACTTTACACATACAAAACAGTTCCCCGTAGTCACCTCTATGGTATCTCCTTCCTTCAGCCTCTGGGGAACCACTATCCTCAGTTTGGTGTTTACCCCTGCCATGCATTTATGTATGTGTATATAAACTAAAGATCTTTAGGGTTTACGTGTGTAGATATTCCTTAAAAATATGTTTATGCTTTTAAAATTTTTACAAATGGCATCAAACTATATGTGGTCAACTGCAACTT